TCATTGGTATCAGTGGGAGGACTAGCGCCCATCATTGGTATCAGTGGGAGGAATAGTGTCCCATCGTTGGTATCAGTGGGAGGAATAGTGCCCCATCACTGATGTCAGTGGGAGGAATAGTGTCCCATCGTTGGTATCAGTGGGAGGAATAGTGTCCCGCCATTGGTATCAGTGGGAGGACTAGCGCCCCATCACTGATGTCAGTGGGAGGAATAGTGTCCCATCGTTGGTATCAGTGGGAGGAATAGTGCCCCATCGTTGGTGTCAGTGGGAGGAATAGTGCCCCATCATTGGTATCAGTGGGAGGAATAGTGCCCATCATTGGTGTCAGTGGGAGGAATAGTGCCCCATCATTGGTGTCAGTGGGGGGAATAGTGCTCCATCATTGGTGTCAGTGGAGGAATAGTGTCCCCATCATTGGTGTCAGTGGGAGGAATAGTGCCCCATCATTGGTATCAGTGGGAGGAATAGTGTCCCCATCATTGGTGTCAGTGGGAGGAATAGTGCCCCCATCATTGGTGGCAGTGGGAGGAATAGTGCCCCATCATTGGTGTCAGTGAGAGGAATAGTGCCCCATCATTGGTATCAGTGGGAGGAATAGTGCCCCATCATTGGTGTCAGTGGGAGGGATAGTGCCCCATCATTGGTATCAGTGGGAGGAATAGTGCCCCATCATTGGTGTCAGTGGGAGGAATAGTGCCTATCATTGGTGTCAGTGGGGGGAGGAATAGTGCCCCATCGTTGGTGTCAGTGGGGGGAGGAATAGTGCCTATCATTGGTGTCAGTGGGGGGGAGGAATAGTGCCCCATCGTTGGTGTCAGTGGGGGGAGGAATAGTGCCCCATCGTTGGTGTCAGTGGGGGGAGGAATAGTGCCCCATCGTTGGTGTCAGTGGGGGGAGGAATAGTGCCCCATCGTTGGTGTCAGTGGGGGGAGGAATAGTGCCCCATCGTTGGTGTCAGTGGGGGGAGGAATAGTGCCCCATCGGTGGTGTCAGTGGGGGGAGGAATAGTGCCCCATCGTTGGTGTCAGTGGGGGGAGGAATAGTGCCTCATCGTTGGTGTCAGTGGGGGGAGGAATAGTGCCTATCATTGGTGCCAGTGGGGAGGAATAGTGCCCCATCGTTGGTGTCAGTGGGAGGAATAGTGCCGCATCGTTGGTGTCAGTGGGGGGGGAGGAATAGTGCCTATCATTGGTGTCAGTGGGGGGAGGAATAGTGCCCCATCGTTGGTGTCAGTGGGGGGAGGAATAGTGCCCCATCGTTGGTGTCAGTGGGGGGAGGAATAGTGCCCCATCGTTGGTGTCAGTGGGGGGAGGAATAGTGCCCCATCGTTGGTGTCAGTGGGGGGGAGGAATAGTGCCCCATCGTTGGTGTCAGTGGGGGGAGGAATAGTGCCCCATCGTTGGTGTCAGTGGGGGGAGGAATAGTGCCCCATCGTTGGTGTCAGTGGGGGGAGGAATAGTGCCCCATCGTTGGTGTCAGTGGGAGGAATAGTGCCCCATCGTTGGTGTCAGTGGGAGGAATAGTGCCCCATCGTTGGTGTCAGTGGGAGGAATAGTGCCCCATCGTTGGTGTCAGTGGGGGGGAGGAATAGTGCCTATCATTGGTGTCAGTGGGGGGAGGAATAGTGCCCCATCGTTGGTGTCAGTGGGGGGAGGAATAGTGCCCCATCGTTGGTATTAGTGACACAAATGATGGGGCACTATTCCTCCCACTGACACCAATGATACTTACCTTGCTGACCCCTGCCCAGCCTGGGCTCGCTCTCTCCCTCTCCCATCTACAGCCTGCAGAAGCAAAATTTGCACTTACCTGTCAGCTGTCTTCCTTCTCTGGCCTCTCTCCTCTTCACTCGGTCCTGCAGCTCCCTCGATCTTCTTCGATCTGCGCGCTCTGCCGCTCGGCTCCTCCTCTCCAAGCTCCACCTCCTCGCCGGTGATTGGCCGCCTGTGTGCCTCTCCTGAGCTACAGTTCCGGTGGCCAATCAGCGGCGAGGAGGCGGAGCTGTTGAGTGATCCCGGAGGTGTGGCCAGGTTACAGGGGGGCAGCATATCATCCCGCCCACAGATCGCGAGACAGAGCAGCGGTGTCTCGGTTCCTAAGACCATCGGAAATATGTGTTTTCCGATGGTCTTAGGCGACCCCTGGGAAATGGTCGTTCGACCCCCAAAGGGGTCGCGACCCCCAGGTTGAGAACCGCTGCTCTAGGGTCTCGCTCTCATTGCTGAGGACAGCATTGGCTCCCACTGCTGTCAAACACAGCCAGTGAAGAGAGAGGGTGGGGCCAAGCCAGGCCAACCATGCTCTGTGTCCTATGGACGCATAGAGCGTAGCTTGGGAGTGAGCATGCACCTTGCTATTGGTTGACACTGGTCAAGGGGGAGGAGCCGGGGAGCGCCAGCGGGGGGGCCCAAGAAGAAGAGGTAAAACCATTGCAGAGCGGGTAAGTATGACATGTTTGTTATTTAAACCACTTGCCTACCGGGCACTTATACCCCCTTCCTGCCCAGGCCAATTTTCAGCTTTCAGTGTTGTCGCAATTTGAATTGCACGGTCATGCAACACTGTACCCATAGGAAATTTTTATCATTTTTTACATGCAAATAGAGCTTTCTTTTGGTGGTATGTACTCACCGCTGGGTGTTTTATTTTTTGCACTATAAACAAAAAAAGAGCAAAAAAAAAAACAAAAAAAAGTTTTTTCTTTGTTTCTATTATAACATTTTGCAAAACGAGGTAATTTTTCTCCTTCACTGATGTGCGTGTGATGAGGCTGCACTGATGGGCACTGATAGGTAGC